ACTACTGACCATGACTCCTCTTCCAGTATCTGCCATGATGGAGAGAGATGGCTGAATCCCAGTCAAACCAAGGGACACCCCAAATGCAAAGGGAGCACCAGAGTTGATGGAATTTACATTTAAGACATAGAAAACACACCAACTGGAAGTTAGTGAGAGATCCATTGATGAAATGAACCTGGAACAACAAGATCAGCAAGACTCATCAGGGTTTTTTTTCTTTTCCACATAAACTAGTGAATATTATTTTTCTTAATAAAATAAGCTGAGAGTAAAGATAATCAGAATTAAAAGACTGCTCTAGTACAGAACTTGAGCACTTCTATACTGAATTTAAAGATTCTAATTAACCACAGTTCCTATGCTCTCCTTGTCACTCCTCTGAAAAGAAGCCATTCCAGCAGAAAGGAGACTGACACTGTCCTGAGACCAGCTCCTCAAACAGCTGGATCCAGCCCTGAAGCAGCAGATGGAGTGTGACCATCATCACCTCCTAATGGGTTTCCAAACTCATTTGCATGTAAAGCCAGGGAAGTGTGGAGTCGAGGCAATTTAAAGAGTAACTGGGGTTTACCTGATGCATTTCCTCTGAGTTTGCAGGCCACTGAAAGACACATGCTTACATTAGAAATGAGTAACTTGCAAGTGTAGCTCCCAAACAAACTGAGGAACAATCTGTTTCCACATGCTAGAGTTTCTATCTGTACCTGCCTGCAACTTGAAAGTTGCAAAAGAGTTTTCTTGGTTTGTTTGTTGGTGACAGGAGGTACAACCACCTTACTTCATCCACTATAAATACAATTTAGGTGCACTCAAGGTACACAGAGTCCCAGCAACAGTCCAGGTTTAGTATTAATTGCAGAAGTCTAAAGTTCTTCAAGCTGCCTTCAGCACAAGCCACTAATTTTGCTTAACTGCCACTCATATTCCTGCTGGCAAGGAGAAATGCTCTCAGGTATCCCCTCGTGTATTGCAGCTGCACTCAAAAGTCCCAAAGGATTGTTCCTCAAAGATTTTACATGCTCAGAATCTTCCCTTGTTTTTTTCCCCACTCAGAGCTCACAAATGATCACACATAATTTCCTGTGTAGTCCTTCCCTCTGCAATTCCAGGCTTTTTAATTGCTTAGTCAATCATTACACTTCAGGCCAAAAACAAGAAGAAAACACTCTTGGATGTACTGCAACCTTGAGCTGGTATTTCCATTCTCAACAGGAAAACTAACATTACCAAAAGAGCTCAACAGATTATACTTCAGGCTTCTAAAAGCTGAACTTTTTCTCTCTTCAGATCAAAATCTCCTAAACAAGCTGGTGCAAGCACCACTCTGGTGCTTGTAGATTGCTGTAATTATTTTCTTATGCAACTAAACCGGGTTTTTTTAAGCAGCATGATATTCACATACTTGAAACAAAAAAACATTTAGACAAGGAACATCAGAGTTGGGACCCGTTGAGTGTCTGAGCTCTTTAACTTTTATCAAAGGAAGCAAATAGAGTAGCAAGGGCAACCCATCTGTTTTGGATGGAAGGTATCAGAAAATTCCTGTAGCTCCAGTTAAAAAGCATCAAAATGCTCTGTAATACCACCACACATTGCTTAGATTTGAAACTTAAGGTAGATGACAGTTTTCCAACATAGGCAAGAGTCACCTTAAAATTCAGGCCTGGGCAGCCAGACAGCCCTGTCCTGTGCACTTTCCTTTTCCAGGTGGGTGTGCTGAAGTCCTGAAGCCTGTGTACTCATACCAGAGCATTAACACTACTGCTTTTCACTTCAGTCATCAAAAAGTTCCAAAAAGTTACTTTGAAACTTAGCCTCGATTAACAAGCAAAACCCGAGTTAACCAATGACTATTTACCTTAAACCAAAGCAAAACTCCTGTATTTGAATACCATCCCACAAATGCCAGAAAAAGCTAGCAAGGCCCTGAACCATCACCTGTACTAAATGGAAAAGTAAATTCTGTATCATAGGTTTATTTTGTTTCAGCATTTTGTTTCTGACTAGGGTTTCCCCAAAATGGGAGATGAGAACCAGAAAGAACAGGGTAAGCAAAGAACTCAGCATTAAGAAGATATCAGAAAGGCAAGAAGGTGAAAACTCAAAATGAAGTGGAAGCTGACACTAATGTCAATTCATGCTTAGCACTGTTATTTTCAGAGAGGTTTCACATTGTGTTCTCTGAAGCAGTTTCTTCATTCTCCATAAGCTGTACAGTTGCTGAAACACCACTGCAATAAGCATTTCAGAAATAACCAGCACTGTTACAAGAGTAGGAATGCTCCTCCTTCAGAGAGGAGTTTAGTCATGGCTGGAAAATGAAAATTGACCATTTAATCCCAGAGATTTACACTGCATTTCTAACTCAGATCTCAGTGTTGCAGAAGCTTAGGGGGACCATTGTCTGACCATGGTGAGGACTGTGTGGAAAAACGGGCTAAGGTTGCTGCAGCTGTACTTGACAATGTCACACAGATTTAAATGCTACTTGATAGGACCATTTCCACTTCACATTGTCCACATCCAGTACTAAAAATTCATCTGAGATCTTTTATTGCCAGTTAAACACAGGGGGATCTTGGCTTCGTTAAGTCTTAAGCAGTGATCATTGAACTTCCTGAAAAAGTGAAAAGGACCTGCAGTCTAAACACTCTGTTACAGAAAGAGCAGCAATCTCGTGCACTTGACAACTGACATTGTCAAAGAAGCTAAGAAAGTTTACTTTAAACACTGGATGTTTATCCACGTTTAATGCAGGAGACTATTACACAATTACCCTAAAATAAAAGCACTGATAATCACTGTTTTGAAAGCTGTTATTCTGTCCTGGTATTTGATTTCTTCCTGATGATTTTGCCAGAATATCAAGGTGTTATCAGGCTTCTCTCAGATGAGCAAAAATGCAAACAAAACATCTACTGCCTTCCCACCAGCAAACTCTTCTAGCTCTCTTGTTTGCTCTTCCTCCTTCTGCCTACTTTTTCCAGAGTGACTCTTCCCAAGCCATTCCCCAAAAACATATGGGGGGAGCCTAAATTGCATTATTGTATACAAGAGCCACCTGTGTTATCTGGAAAAGCAAGGGAAGGAAGAGTCTGACATGTACCCAAAGGAGAAGCCTAACCTAACCTTAACACTCCCAAATCACCACCTGCAGGGCCAAAAGGGCAATCAATCTGCTGAACCATATTAACCCACTTTAAAGCTACTTCCAAATTTTATTTTCAGGATTAGAAGAGTTTAAAAGGTTCGGCTGACATAGTCCAAGAAGTGCTGTTAACTATCAGAACACCTGACTGCTATCTTGAGGACCAGGATTCTACTTTCAATTCTGCAAATCTACCCAGGAGTGTTTCAAGTGTGTGACTCTGCCTCCCCTACTACAAGGAGGAGACACTTTTCTTTCCAAAGCACACCGAGTTCTACTGCTGAAAGCTCTACACCTTCTGCATGCATAAAATATTACATCATTTTACCACAACTGCTACTGCTTAGACAACTTAAAGAGGAAGGAGTCTCAGATCTTTCCATTTTCACAAATTGCTTCCCTAAAAGCTTCTCCTACCACTTGAAATTAGCAGCAGCAAAAAAAAAAAAAAAAAAAAAAAAAAAAAAAAAAAAAAAATCACTGACAGGACCACAATAAGCATTAAGACCTAGAATAAGACTCCTTATTTCTAGGAATATAGATTTAAAAAATCATAACACTCTCTTTGCTCACATAACTACAATCAGAGAGAAGCTTCTGAATTTCAACTTTCTTGCAGTTAATGGGCTCCAGCCTGAAAATGGACAAAAAAAAGGAAAAGAACATTAGACAACAATTTTCCTGTTCATTAACAGAAGTGAAAGCCCTTTATGGAATAGCAGCATTCTTAAAAACAAGAGTCATTGTATGCATGCACTTATTAAGTGCACATAAAGCTTCTATTTAAACACGAATCTGGAAACTCAAAAGTAACTCGTTATCTTTAACTTGCACAGTTCCCTTTCCTTTAACTTTCTATGAAATCTCACAAAGCCTCACAAATCCATGCCCACAAAAGAATGGTGACGGTCCTACAGAAAAATATAGGCAGGAAAGCAGCATTTCTTTTAGGGAAAGATTATGAAGATGAAGAGAGAAACACTCCTGAGTGAGCTTTTCATGTATCTTCATGTATTTTCTAAAATGTGATCACTTCTACCTGCACAGGGCATCAAGGCTGTATCCCTGAAAGGAACAGTATTTGTCAAGGTTGCTTTTCCCTAGTTATGGAAATACTGGTCTGTAGACCAAAGGTTCTACCAGCAGCTTTTAGAGTCCCCAGTCAATAGAGAAACACGCTGCCAGCACTACAAAACCTGCACACACACTGAAAGGAAACTTTCCTGCAAAGGCACCAAAGCAGAGTTATTTCCATTTCGGCTCCAGGTTTGGTGACACCCCACAGTGCCCAGCTCTGCGGGCCTACACTCCTGCATTTCTAACGATGCACCAAGTAAGTAACAACCACTCGCAGCCGTAACATCTGTACGAGGAGCCCTTTCTCGTCCCATCTCCAGGTGCACAGACTGGGGACACTTTGCAAAAGCAGAGAAATTCCTCCTCATTTCTTCAAACCTTGAAGTTTCTCCAATTCCGACTTCGAGGATGCTCTCATAATGTTTTTTCCAGAAGGCAGGCCACACCTATATCCTCTTTCCTCTGCGTTTCCACAAAGCTTTTCTCAATCCCCTTTGCAAGGAAATTTCCTTGGAGCCTTTTCCACGGAAGCCTTCAGCGGGGAATCGCCGGAACCCACATTCCCCGGGCCCCGGCAGCCCAAAGGTGCCCGCCCTCCCAAACACCTGCACCGAGCCCGGTCCCGGAGCACCGGGAGCCGCGGCGGGGCAGGCGGGGGGCGCAGCCGCCGCCCCGGCCGAGCCCTCACATCCCTTCCCGAGGGCACGGCCCGAGCTCCGGGCGCCGCGGGATGTGCCGGCCTCCAACCCCGCTCCCCTCGGCCGCCCCTCACCTTGAGGATGTTCTCGTAGATGGTGGCCCGGAACTCCAGCAGCGCCTTCTGGTCGAACTCGCGGCCGTGGATGATCCGCATCTGCTTGAGGAAGGTGGACTTGCCGCTCTCGCCGGCGCCCAGCAGCAGGATCTTGACGAGGCGGCGCACGGCGCGCCGCTCCCGGGCCAGCATCGCGTCGATCTCCCGGCTGCGCCGCCGCGCCTCCCGCTCGGCATCGCGGCTCCGCTCCTTGCCGTCCCTCCGCGGCTGCTCCCCGGCGCGGCCCGCGGCCTCGGCCGGCAGCAGGCAGCGGCTCAGGGTGCGCACCACGCCGGACATGGCGGCGGCGGCCCGGCCGGAGCGCTCACAACGCCGCCGCCGAGATCCCGAGCTCCGCCAGCATCGGGCGGAGGCCGCCGAGACGCTGCGACCGGGAGGAGGAGCAGCCGCAGCCGGGGGCTACGGGCCGGGACCGCCCATTCCTCGCTCCGGCTCGGCCGGGGGAGGGGTGCGGGCGGCGGGGCGCGGCCCGCAGGCCCTGCCCGGGGAGGGGGCGCGGCCGCTCCGAGGGGGCTGCGCGGGGCCGGGGGCGGCGGGAGGCACCCGGAGCCCTCGGCGCGGGGTCGCGGCGGTGCCGCGGCGGGCGGGGGACACGCGGCCCCGGCCCCTTGCCCTGAGCGCCGCCGCCCGCGCGGGGAGGAGCCCGCACTGCTCTCATTGGGTGGCAGCGCGATCGCTCAAGGCATCCGTTCTCTAATTGGATGAACCGGAAAGCAGGGCGGGACCAAGAGGGCGACGAGGCTCAGGGCAAGGCAGGGCGGGCAGTGCCGGGAGGGGGCGGGGACAGGGGCGCGAGCACCAATCAGCAGCGAGAGGGCGTGGCCTCGCTACCGGAGGCGGGCCCTGGGTGGTGGGCGCACCGTCCGTGGCGTGACGTCACGCCAACAACACGGGACACGGTGTGACGTCATGGCGCGTCCGGGATGACGTCAGGCGGAGCCGCTGCGGCGGGGTCGCGGCGGGGTCTGGGCGAGCCCTTGGGGTCCCGAGCCGGCGGTACCGGGGCGCTGTTTGTAACGTGTGGGTCAGAACCCAGTGGGGTTTGTTCTCACCAGACAACATGCAGTGACGTAAAAAACGTGTCATCGCTGACGTCATCAGGGAACAAACGTCCCTAGCGCTGATCCTTGCTCAGCCAGATTAAACCACGCGGGGATTTTTCCCTCCATCCCCCAGGAGCTGATCCCAGGGGGATCCGGCCCAGGCTGAGCCCATTGCCCTGGGGCTGCCCTGGGTGCTCCAGCCCCTGCTGCCATCGGGGTAACTCCTCACAAACCTGCACCAATCCAGGGCCCCGCTGCTGCCGAGGTGGGGATTAAAGTATCAAAGTACACCTTTGAAAGAAAATCCCCCTCGGTCTCGTGATTAGGTACTGGAAGGGAAAAACCATTTTGGGAAGCAGCTGGTGTGTGATCAGCGAGCAGTGGCTGGGATCCCAGACCTTCTGGCTGCAGAATGAAATCATAAAGGCACATGTCCTCACTTCTATGAGATTATTTGTCCTTTCTGCATTACTTCTGTCTGTGCTTACAAGTATTTATGGCATAAACATCTATTCCAGTTTAAGTTTCAGATTGTTTATCCTCCCCAGGCCTGTTCCAAAGATGGGACACAAGAATAGAGAGATGAGGGAAACTACAGAATGACTGGGATTTCATAGAATATTAAGGATGGTGACTCCCAGCTGGTTTGGGTTGGAAAGGACCTTAAATCTTGTTCCACTCCCTGCCATGGACAAGGATACCTTCCACTATCCCAGGTTGCTCCAAGCCTCATCTAATCTGACCTTGGACATTTCCAGGGCTGGAGCAGCCCCACCTTCTCTGGGCAACCTGTGCCAGGGCCTCCCCACCCTCACAGGGAACAATTTCTTCCTAATATCCAATTTAAATTCATCTCTCTTCAGCAAAAGGCCATTCCCCCTCGTCCTCTCACCACCCTGTCAAAAGTTCCTCTCCAGCCTCCTTGTAGGCATTGAGACATCTTAGAAGGTCAGGGAGTCAGAGATTTAAAACAAAAAAAATTACAGAAAACATTTCATGGAGGTGAGAATCCTGTGTGAGGATTAACCCACTGAGATGTCAACTGTTCCACAAAGTCCAAGGGTTTTTCTCCCTGGCAAGAAGAGACATTTCAAACCACATTTAGATATTGCAGATTTCAGGAAACCAGCACAAAACTCTTAGTCCTGAGCCATACCCCACAGAAGTTTCTTGAACAGTTTCCCTTCCATGCTCTTACTCTTCGGTTGCAGTTTGAGCCTCAGGAACGGCTCATTCCCCCATAAAAAGCTGCTGTAGTTCAGGAGTTTCCCACTGGATGTCATGATTGCCCCGCCAGAACCCAGCCACAGCGGTGGGATGGAGACAAACAACCCGACCCGAATCCCCGATCTCTGATTTTCGCAACAGCTGAGCACTCAGGGCTCCCGCTGGCATCCGCAGATGTTAAACTGCCTGGAAATCAGGAGCTGTGCAGTGCCCAGATCGGAGTTTTCTGATTAGCTCGGTTTCTCCTGCCCCTCTGGCTTTGTCTGTGCCCTACTTGAGGTTCTCTTCAACTTGAGGTGCAGAGAGTTCAGTATCTGTGGAGTCCCGCTCCAGTGACAGACCTGCTTCATCTGGGAGAGGGAAATTGCGGTACACAATAAACGAATCAAATAAATCGGTTGCCAGACGTCCTTAGTTCTCCATGCATTCATCCATGAAAGCAGCTTTCAACAGCTCCCATCGAACTGTCAAAAGGAAAAGGTCCAGCCCTGCCTCCATCCCCCGCAGCCCCGTGGTTCCCCATGGAATCCCTGGAAGCTGCTGGGAGCAGCACAAAGCAGAATTCTGTTTGCTCCTGCAGCAGCGCAGGGCCGGGCAGGGCTCTCAGCCATGTGACAATCCCCACCGACAGCCCTGCAGAGGCTTTGGCATGAGCCTAAGCAGGAGGTGAAAGTGCCCCTGGTGAGAGTCAGGTTTGTTCTCAGCCTCAGAGAATTCCCTTTCCTCATTACCTGTCCAGCTCCATGCTTCAGGATTTCCGATTCATCTCCCTTCTTTGGGCTTAGACTGAAATTAAAACAACTTGTATTGATACAAAATAAAATAAAGCAATATAAATTACTTTATTTTTCTGTTCTTTTACCTTCTCACTTTTCCTTTTTTTACTTTTTCTTTTATATTTCTACTCTATTTTCCTCTTTCCCACCTCTGTTTCTTCTTATAACTCCTGTTCTCTTTCTGCTGATAATGCAACTGCTTCTGTTCCTTCTTTAATCTCCCATAGAGAGAGTGAAAAGAGTAAAATATGGAAGAGAACAGAGAACTGGAGGATAGAAAGAAGGGGAGATTCAGTGAGGGAAGCAAAGCAACTGAATTATGAGCAGAAAGATGGGGGCTCTTGGGGGAAAGGCTGGGGAATAAACTCTGGGGCTCTGGCCCTGAGAACATCTGCAGATGAAAGCTGGAAAAGTGTCTGGCAGCTGGAGGAGGCAGTGGCTGCCTGTGCATGAAGACCTGACTGCAGATGGGAGTGACAGCAGGAGGCCCAGGGGGAAGGAGCTGCTGCCACTCGAGCTGAGGGTGCAGCTGATGGACCCTGCATAAAAAACTGATGGTTTGCCACACCTGGGACATGATTGCTGCTCCCCTGAGTGCCACCAGACACCAGCACTGCCACAAAGAGTATTTTGCTCCATGAAACTGAGAACCAAATAATCCACAAGGAGGGTTTGCTCCTGCTGCAGTAGCAGCACCTTGCAGCAATGCCAGAGCTACTTCAAATGCAATCAAAACTCCAGAGTTTAGGCACAAAAGTGAGGATAATAACAGGATGGCAAGGAAAGGCGTGCAGTGATGGAATCACCCTAAGTGATAAATCACCCACCCCGTGCTGGTGAGCAAACTGAGTCAGAGTATTGAACTGTTGCTCCCACAGGGCAGGTGCACTCCTGGCTTTCCCTGGGTGATTTGAAGATATCTGGGCCCTTGAATTGCTCATTGTGCATTCAGGCAGCAAAGCCTGTAGTTCTGAAGAGCATTTATGATCTAAACTCCTTTTGCTGCTTCTCTGTTGAGACTGTGACTCTCTTTGCCTGAGGAGGTGCTGGAGTTTATGTGCACTTCAAGCCTTACCTAAGCTGGTAGTTTTGTCGTGTTAAAAGTGCCATGTTCTGCTTATTGCATTCTCCAGGTTTTATATGGCTTTTTCAATGGCCTTCTCTCTGCACACTCCCCATGGCAGAATGAAAAAGTGCAGAGAGGCAAAGGGAATAATATTCTCCTGCACAGGAATGAACAAGAGCAGTTCAAACAGATCAACCATTTTCTAGCAACATCATTAAGTATATGTGAACCTTCTGGTACTAAAGTATTAGTTTTTTGCTGTAGGTATTGAACCCTTGGCTGGTTGTTATCTGCAAGACTTTATGATCCCTATTCTATTCTCTTTCTGAGAGATCCCAATTTTTTGAAGTGTTTGCAGTCTTAACACTTGTGCAGACAAAGAAAACTGAAGTAGTTTGGCGTCTCTCAAGAAAAAATCCACTTATTAGTGAGTTTGTATCTCAATATTTGCCTTGTCCCTTTTAATGCCTCTGGAAGGGCTGAGAGAATGGGGTTTGTTCAGCCTGGAGAAAAGGCTGAGGGGAGACCTTATCTATCCCAGTATTTAAAGGGTGGCTCCAAAGAAGATGGAGTCACCCTCTTTACCAGGATTCACATGGAAAGGACAGGGGGAATGGGTACAAATTATTCGTGGGGAGATTCTGACTGGACACAAGAGGAAAATCTTTCAAAAAATTTTCAAAAGAGGAACAATCTATCATTGGAATAATCTCCCCAGAGAAGTGGTGGATTCCCCAATATTGGACACTTTTAAGGTTCAGCTGGGTGAACCTTAAAAGGGTGGTGGGACATCTTGGCTAGACCAGTTTTTTTGCCAAGAAAGGCTTGACCAGATGATCCTTGAGATCCCTTCCAATGTGGGGAGGAACTCTATGATTTCAGTGTATTCTGATTTTTAATGGTATTTTCTTCCCCTTTGATATCTCTGTGAATACAGAGGCTGCAGAACCTTTGGTTCATGCTGTTTGTGAGCTCTCTTGCAGAGGATTCTCTTGCAGTGGCCCAGCCCAGCTGCCACCAAGCAGTCAAAACTCCAAATTATGTCAAAGCAATTACTCCTGCTTCTCTTATTAAATTGGCAGCCAGTATTTTTTCTTTTCCATGTGGTATTTTCATCTTCTGTCCCACAGAAGACACATTACTCATATACATAAAATATGTGAGTCG